GGGAGGATAAAACACTGACTTGTACATCGGCTGGCCCCCGCAAGTCATTGTATAGGCCACATCGCATTCAAACGCCACTGCGAATGTACAAATGGAAGTAGAATGCGTGCCGCATCCCAAAAAGGGATTGATCAACGGCAAATGCTTTATCCTTTTATCCTTTATTCTAGAAATTCTTCGTTGAAATTGCCTAAAAGATCATGTGACGCATGAGAGTATATTTAAAGGCCTACGGACTTCTTGAACTCGGTCCTTTGAACCGCTCAGTTTGATGCTCCCACCTGCGCTCTCTCGCCTAAACAGCGGCTCATGACTACTGTGATCTCACACATTCAAACTTTTGCCACACTGTAATTGGCTCACCCACCCGGAGTCCTTCCTTCTCTGCATGGCTGAGGGCTCGTGAGTGTGAAAACCACTTTTTGATCTATCGGATCAGGCATTTGGGCTGATCAGTTCCCTTTTTGGGAGAGTCGCGCATCCCTCTATCACTCACAACCGTAATCGAATTTGAGTGAGGTTTGGTATACAATAAAAGGCTAGCTTATGTGAAAATCGGTACTTCTATCTTTTCTGACCAGCCTGTCACCCTGTTATGAATCCGTGGGACTAAAATGTTTTATTTTGACCGGGGTTTTAGCTCGGATTCGTTCAGTCCTTCTGTGTGCCATGCCTCACTTGCCACTGTCCCACATTTGACATTAATCTCATGTAAGTTATATGAACAGAGGCCCCCTCTTTCGACACCTCTCATGTTACTCATTTTGGCTGAATATTCAGAACACGGCTAGGTGACTTGTGAAGCAGTTTTGATTTCAATACTAACAGAACCCATTGTGTGGAAGTAGAGACCAATAAAAGAGTAACCTCCCTTTTGTCAGTTTTCTCCAATATAAGAGATGTCGGCCTATCCTATCTCACAGGCGATTCTATGTAATGTAAATATTAAGGACATCGCAAAGATGATCGAGAGCTCGAGCGACAAGCCTTCTTTACGTGCACCATTGCTGGAGTTGATCAGGATACTTGGTTAGTGTGTCATAGTTACCTGAGTCCTCATGATGTTTCCTATGTCATTTTTGTTCAGCTCGCGATAAAAGACAGTTGGACGTGTTGCTTACAGAAGCAGTACGTAGCTTCATAATACGTGCAAGTGGGCACTCGGATACGAACTCCGAGGTTCTCCAAGGTTAGTTGTTCACTCCAAATAGAAAGTTTCTCTGCCGACATGTTTATTTCGAAAAATTCGCTTTTCTCAACAAAGGATGTTAATTTAAAATCGCTTTGGGAGTGATAGCCTGCTATAGTTACCTTATCTTCATGGTTAGTGCAAATACTAGGCCGGTTTCAAGATTTCTACAACAGCG